GCCTGGTCGTCCAGGCCCGGCTGCCGGGTCTGACCGACCACAGCATCAATCTCCGCTTGCACACGCGCTGCACGCCAGGAGCAAAGTCATCCAAACCACATGGAAAAAAAAATAATAAAAAAAAAAACATATCTACGGAGCAACAGGGGAGGTTGTTGTGAAGTTCCCTCAAAGAAGGAAACCATCACAAGCCCTAATATGTGATGAAGTGCCCCATGCTCTGCAGTTTCCTGGGGCAATGCAGCCAAGGCCTCGGCACAGGCAACAGGGGTCTGTGCTGGCACTGCGGGATGAAGAGATGGCTGGAAGGACTGACTAACCCCTCACCCCACTGTACATGGGATACGGGAGGGAGAGACCAGGAGCGGGTTCTGGACACATGGCTCATTTTACCTTGAATTTCTGGGTGCGCAGCCATGTAGAGCAAAGCCCAGCGGAGGGTTGTGGACGTTGTCTCTGTGCCCGCAAAGAACAGGTCCAGCACGCAGGCCACAAGATTCTCCTCGCTGAAGCACCTGCTGCTGTCATCCTTAACAGAGAGGGGTTTGAGCAGCTCGTGGACGGTCGCAACCTGCCGCAGACCACGCTCAGCCTGCCCATCACTGAGCTCACCCCATGGCTTTGGTCTGATGCAGGGAGGCCCCTGCACCTTCCAGGTGGGAAGATGCCCCGTGCAGTTGCCTTCTCCTCCCAGAACCACTCCAGACTTGACTTTGGGCTCAGCATGGCTCTTTTATCCCTATTCTACTTATATTTTAGTGTATTCGATCCTGCTCCTTCAATAAACGTGCCGTGAAAACCTGAGTGGAGTTTTCCACACTTCCCCAAACCCAAGTCCTTCCCAGCTTTATTTGGACATATTGGAGATACACATAGAGAATTAGGGTTCATTTCTAGTTGCTCCTGATTTCTAGCCCAAGCTGTGGAAGGGCTCGGCTATATGACCGACCTTGGCTATCTCCTGCAGGTAGCTGTCGATGAAGTCCCGGCTTTCGGTGGGCTGCCAGTCCTCCTTGTGCTTAGCAATTATGTCATGCAGATAATTTTTGAGCTTCTTTGAGATTGCAGAAATGGTGTGGTGAGGCCCGGGGACGTATTTCATGATTCCTGGGAAAGAGCTGTAGAGCTTGAGAAACGAGAAGAGCACATGGAAGAGAGGAACAAAACAACCATTGTGCTATCAAAATCTCGTGCCTGCCAACCACGTTGATGAATTATCGTTCTACAAGTCTGGAGGCCAACCCCCAAAGGAGCAGCCAAGGTCTTAAACAAATTCATGCCCACATGGCTGGCCTGACCGGAGAGCAGTACCTGACTTAGAGGGTGGCCGCGCAGCCCCACCATCTTCTCCAGTAGATGCAGCAGCTCTTGGAAGTGCTCGTTGTGGTACTCAAACCGTTCTCCAAAGGTGACGGAGCAGATGATGTTGGAGACAGCATTGTTGATTTTAAAGTGAGGGTCGAATGGATGTCCTGAAGAAGTGGAACAAAGAGGAGTGGGCTCTGCTGTGCTTCCCCGTTCAGGAGTGGTTTCATAGGGTGATGGACAGCAAGGGGTGCAGAAAGAGCTAAAGGCCTTTAGAAACAGTGGAGCTCACAGGTGCTCACACTTCTCAGGTGAGCTCAAAGCAAGCAGTGCTAAACACTCCTTATAAATACTGCTTTAGTTGTCACCTCCTCACATTAATCCACTAATTTTGAGGATTTTTTTTAGCAGACAGCAGCATGCAGAGCAGTTCTGTGAGTCTGGCCTCACCCTGCTCTTCCCCGATGGCATCAGTGAGGTACCGGCACTCCTCCTGTATCCGCTCCTCCAAGCTCTTCTTGCCCAGGCCAAAGTTTCTGAGTGTGGTCAGGGCAAATCTTCTCTGCTGTTTCCATAGATGTCCATTAGAAGAGGTCAGCCCTGGAATAAAACGACAGAAAATACCGCACTGTGAGCTAAGGTAGCTCCTGTTATCGGGTGCTCTGCAATGGCAGAGCAGCCAAGTTTTTTGTGGTGGTCACAGATGGATTCATTCATGGGCAGACAGGTGGTTTGCAGGGTCCATATTTAACCTTTCTGACCCAAATACACGTCCTGGATGGTAAGAACTCACCGCTTTGGCTAAAGAATTCAGTGTCAAGAGGGATTTTTGGCCGATCGAGGAAGTTTTCACCGTGGTTTACCAGTACCTCCTTAACCATCTGAAAGTTATTGACGATGATGTAGCTCATGCTGCCCATGTCCACGCTGAAGATGTCCCCATATTTTTCAATAAGCTAGGGGGGGAAAAGAAATGATCAAAGCCATGGAAAGCAAAGCTCAGTGGAGGGGAAGCAGATGGGAAATCCCAAGTCCTGGAGCCTTGCTATGGACCTGAACAAAGCCATAGGAAACATCAGGGAAGTGGAGATGCAGAAGGGAGGGGTAAGGAGGGAGAGAAGGCATTTAAGTGGATGATTGATCCTGGAAAGGCCTCTTCTTTTTTTCTCCTTACCAAAATTACTGAGCAGAAGTTGGTGCTAATTGGCTGTTAATTAACTAAACCCGTTCAGTCTACATTTTCAAGTCTTGTCTCTACTTAAGTGGGGCTTTCCCAGCTCCTGTCTCCCTCCCTTCCCAGCCAAAGTCAGAGGACTCCTATATGAGTGGTGATAGCAGCTCCATCACATCATATCTTTTGCACAGAAGTATGCTAATGTTTGCATCTCCTCCACATTAGAACAGAGCTTATGCAAACTTCCCAACCCCCTCACTTGCCATGGGAGGTCTCTGGGGCCTCCTGCTCACCTGACTTGCATTGAGCCCTTTCCCCCCACTGTAAGTGCTGTGTACCCACCTGGCCCCTTCCCATCCACCCTTGGGTCTCCTTGGTCCTCGGGGCTATTTACCTTCTCTACTCCTTTCAGGGGGTCGATGAAGTCCATGTAGAGGACATTCCCCAGGAAGGGGAGGCGGAAAGGTCCTGGCGGGAAGTTTTTGGGCTTCCTCCTCTTCATGTAGTCGGCAATGAGCAGGAAGACGAGCAAGAAGACCAGGAGGGTCCGTATGGACACACTGGAGATGCCCTCGCTCAGGAGGCGCAGCATGGCGAGGGTCATGATGCCGGCAGCCCCGTCAGCCTGGATCCGCGCCCGGAGATGGGCAAAGTGCACAGGGAGATGGACACATGAGCAAGTCGCTAGTGCAGCTGCCCGCCCGCCCTGGCACGCTGCCTCGCCTCCCTGCCGGACGGGTTATAGTTAAAAAGCAGTTTGATTCCTCCACACTTGCCAGGATGACACCAGAGACACTGGGTTGGAGGTCCTCGCTGCAGCCTCTTGCTCACCCCTGCCCTCCCGGCTCCTTCCCTCGGTGCTGGTGGCTGGAGCAGGGAGCGGCCACGGGCCCTGCCCCCCCTTCC